ATAAAAAGATATCTGTAATTTTGATATGCTTAGTTACTAATTATTAATTATTATTTTTTTCAGAATGTTTGCAATTTAATTTTGAGAATTTTTTTGAAAATAAAAGTAAAATGCAAAATATTCTATATTAATTTAATTTTACTATTAAATTATTAAATTTTTTTTTTATAAGTTATCTTGAATTTTATTTGTAATTATATAATTATAATAATAAAAATAATTACGTGTGTACACATAATGTATACATGCATATACCTGATAAGCCGCATATGATTTGTTATGTTGTGACTCAGATTATAGATAAAATTCTGGCATGAAATTAAATTAGTTATACGGCCTTTAAAGTTTTCTAGTTGACCACTCAAGTGAAGAATAGTGAGTCCAAGAAAAGCATCTACCGAAGTGTAAGTTACGGCGGCCAAGAAAATTGTAGTAGCTTGAATGATGTATGTTAGTTCAAATTGTGGGCTCTTATCTATATTGTAAAAATAATAAGTCTGCAGCGGCAGCGGCTTGTCCGGGTCCGTAAGATTTGTCAAATGTCTCAACGGTAAACCAAAATAAGGAAGAATAATAACCACAATGAACGCCAATACCATTAGAATGTATCCGCTGATGATAATCGTTCTAGCAATCTGTGCTCGATTCATCATTACCTCCCTTTCCTTTCTTGTCTTCAATTCCATCCAGTCTTCCGCCATCATTTTTATGATGGATACAAGTGCTTTGAAAAATAGCAAAATAATCACTTGTAGAACCATCACGTATCGACTTCCATTTTAAATAAAGCTAAGGCACAAATATCTTTAAATATTTCATTTTCATGTCTTTTGTATATATGATAAATAAACTTTCTTGATATTTTTGTATCATATAGATAATTTCACCTGTTTGTTTCCACCGTAGAACAATAAGTTTCAACGAGACTACTAATAAAGGTAAAGTAATTTGGAGATTATCTATCATAAGTATCATGTCTCCCCAAACTCGTATAAGGGAGCAGGCAAGAGGTACACCAGAAACAAATGTCACTATAACGAAAATAATAACCATACGGAGATCAGAAGAGAAGTTATTCTTAGATATTTCATCGCTCTTCGGCCATAATCCAAGCAATTCTAAACCCAAGCGATTTAATTTAATCGCCCATGTAAAATCTAGCAAGATATTAAAATTATATAGAAACATTAAAAGTTTGTAAAAATTTATGACATTTTGAAATAAAAAAATCCAAAATCCAAAATTTAATATAATGATATAAGATACCTGCTCTTATATTCTGTAACTCGTTATGCAATTGTTATTAACTCATAACGACTGCATCACGAATTACAGGGACTGGGAGCGCTATTTGAAAATTTTTGAAAACTCTCACTTTTCTTCTAAACAAAAAATACATAAACATTTGATACCTTTATACTGGGAATGTTTGGCAATGTCCATGTCGAAGACTAATGCGAAGACACACACCCCACTTGTCATACTAGTGCAAACTATGATCATCACGCATGTCCATGATGCGAGTGTAACAACCTGGTTGCTTCTTCGAAGAATGCATTAAATATTACAAATGCTACTTCCAGTCGATAACAGTTATTTCGTGTTAGTCCGAAACTTCAAGGACATAAAAAAAGTCATGCTAATAAGAAGGAAAGTATATTGTGCTATGTTAGTGTACGGTATCTATTATAGCTAATTCGTCAAACTATACCCTAAAGGTTTTTTTATACTTTGTAATATGACGATCGTGTTCACTTTGTATCTAGAGATGTACATGTGGTGTTGCGTTTGAATATTTTTGCAGAAAGGCCATAGATGTTCAGAAAAATTTCAGACAAAAAGTGCAATGGAAAAAATTCAGTATCGTATAAGTTATACTGTAAATAATGTGAATAATTATTGAAAAAACATATTGTTTTAATAATATATAAGATGAATAAATGTACATTATCGTATGTAAAGAATTATAATATTATTATATTGATATTATATTGATATTATTGTATTGTAGTTTGCTAACACAGAAAAATCTTTGTATAATTTATCCTTTAATAAAATCATAATAATTTCTAATAAATGTAAATATATATCTTTTTTTCTAGTGAATTTACATATTATATTTTATCAGTCACGCCGATTTTATGATTCTATTTATTATTATAATAATTATAAAATATGTTTATTTAATTATTGATTTATTTATTACTAAAAAAATAATATGTCATAAGTTTAACGACATGTTCTAAGTTTAAATATTTAATACTAAAAAATGTTACAGTTAATATTCACATTATCTGGAGATATGGTAATATCTCGGCGCTAAGACATGGCGCAAGACACTGCCGTACAATTTACAGTAAATAACAAATTTATTTTCAAAAGGATACTAACGTAATTATTTATTAATATTTGTAATTATTTAATTTGATATTAATTTAATATTATATTATACTAATATTTTCTCATCTTATTTTTTGAATAAGTATCTAATATAGTGTGCGCGTTTTTCATAATTCAATTTTGCGCTTTGCTAGTAAAAACGATATGTAGCCAGCCGATGTTTTTAATAGCTGAAAAATATTCCTTTATTTAAAAATACTATAAAGTAAGAGAACATTAAAGTAAAATTTTTAATTTTTTAGAATGTAATCAAATTATCAAATACAAAATCAAGATTTTTCTTTCCAAGAAAGAATTAATTTATAATAATATTAAAGAGATCCTTTAAAGTTTGTCTGTTTTATTGATTAAATGCAATAATTTTTGTAGAAGAACTTCATATGTATCATTTTTTTTATCTGAACATCTTTTTCAAGAATTAAAATATTTTCTACAAGCATGCTATTTCACTTAACTACAAAGAAATTATAGTGTACAGTGAGTCACAGAAAAATTGCAATTTTTTTTTTTTTGGAATGTAGTTTGCCTACCGCAAAAATTTCTCTTATGGATATAATCATTTTACGTTCAACCGTTTTACGAGCAAGACTGAGTTCCGAAACCCATCGAAAAAAATAGTATTGCAAACTTTCTGATCCACTGTACAGAATCATTCTTGACATAAAAATATACAGAGAGAAAGATTCTATCTATCTATTGCATTAATACATTTTAATCACAATAAATATAATTGTTTAATAAAAGTCTAAGACGCGAAATTGTGAGAACTGTACCAATAACGAGTCCCACGTTTTCCCATACGAAAAAATAATGTCAAAGAATTGAATTTATTGTTAGACGCACTTAATTCGATATGAAAATCCTTTATGAAAATTTATGCACATATGAGCGATGTTGATGTATAGTAATACGTAAATCATATGTGTCTCATTGAATTGGTAAAATAGTGATCCCATCGAAGTTTAATCTTCAGATTAGGAGATCTCCTTAATTAATAATGTCTCAATTTTGTGTGTGTAAAGAGATATAAGATTTTAAATTATTAATAATCTTACGCTGCAAAATGTGGTCATTGTTAATGGAAATATCTTTCCCGCGGTAATACGAAAAGGTTCATTAGCACGTATCATTAATAAAATAAGATATTTCTTCTTCCTCGGTTCCAATTTATACCATTCAAGATTACATATAGCACTGTGTACTGCTTCGCACTTGACACATATAAACACATATAAACATATAAACACACATATAAATATATTTCAGTATTCTTTATATTATATTATATTTGATGAAACTAAATATTTAGTATATATTTCATAAACATAAATTAACATTAATTATGATTTTTAATTAATTTTCTATTTCTGTTTAAAGACAAAAATAAAAACAAAAAAGAAAAAGTAAATTTAATTTTACTTAAATTTAATTTTACTTAAAATTTATAACAATAGCATTTATGAGATGCAAGGAATTAGATGAGTGGAAGTCATTTAATCCACGTTACAATTGACCACAAGCTACTCATAGTGTTCATCCAGTGGAAAAGTCTAGGTATCTCACTAAGTAGCTGTGGTCAGTCACAACATGATCAAATGAGACGCTCCCGAATTAGATAGATCTACATATATGAATATGCACAACATTAAATGAAATTACTAAGTTTGTTATAATGCATATATACTCTCTAATAAACTCACATAAATGAAAAAAAAACACTATATTTGGTAATTCTTCGTGCTTAATAATATTTCTTGTAAATTTATAGAATTTTCAGTTCAAGATGTGCGCCAATTATTTATTGCTCTTGAAACATAGCCCTAAATCGAAGCTGGAGTAGTAATATCATAAATTAAATTGACAAGCAATTTAATATTATTGCTACAAATAAGCATCTTAAATAAACTAGACAGCTGTTAATAATTTGATACTACAAACGTCTTAAAAAATTGTAAGTAATTTATTGCAAAAAATATTATTTCAACCAAAATTCGAACCCGGGATATCTCGCATTCCTAGGTTCCTCTCAATTCGATCACCATGGGGGCATGTAATAATATTAATCTCTAAATTCTTTGGACTGGAATTTCACTCTAAAGAGTGAAATTTAATTCTAAAAATTTTAGAGAGTATGTATACATATACATAAATGTAAATTTATTACAATGTAAAATAAGTTAAAAAATGCTAATTTATAGTTTATTTGTTTTAGTAGATAGAAATATTGCAACTTTACTTGCTCTGCTATAATTTCTCCTGCACCACAATAGAGAAATGTATGCGCCAATAATGTAAAGATTCCAATCACTAAAAAGCATACTCTTGTAAGAGACATGTGGCCTATCTCATTCCCGGTAATCACCTGGATAATATATCTTGCTAATTAATAAAAATTTATTTTTAATTAATTACATAATTAATTTATATTTTTATACACTCTTCTCATTTACACTTACAGTAACAAATAGAAATCCGAATAGACAAAATACAATACCAAAATAAAATACTAATCCTAACATCAATAAGGCGAATATATCTTCAATATTATTGGCAAACCTATAAACACGTTTTGATAGATTATGTTAAATCAAAGATATAGAGTGTGGAATGCGCCGTGTGTAAAATTGATAAACAAAAATGAGAAAGATCTCGAAAACTGTTCATTTTTACCTTATGCTCATGGCTTTTGATCATCATAATTCATTTTACATAAGATTAGTGCGGAATGCTTTTACAAAAACTTTACTACATCTAATTTTTTAATTTATTATATATTTATTATATATATTAATTTATTATATATTTTAATGTTATGACAGTTATAAACCATAGAGAAACCTTATTATCCGCAAATGAGTTCGTACATTGTTACACAGAGCGCTATCAAAATCCTTGCATGATGTCAAATTGGTCAATCGGTGTTTGAAGTTCTCCAATTGACCACAAATGTGAAGAATCAAGAGTCCAAGAAAAGCATCTACCGAGGTATAAGTCATTCCACCTAGAAACATCGTCGCAGCTTGAATCACAAGCGCGATCTCAAATTGTGGACTCTTATCTATATCGTAAAAGTAATATGCCTGAAAGGGTAATAATCTTTCCTGATCCGTAAGATTTGTTATATATCTGAAGTGTAGTCCGAAAGCAGGAAGAATAATTAGCACAATGAATATGAATATCATCAAAAAAAATCCACAAATTACAATCAATCGCGCAGTTTGTGCTCGTTTAATCATCACATCTCTTTCTGCGTCCATCTTTAATTCCATCCAATCTTCTACCATCATCTTTACGAGCAGTGCAATAGCTTAAAAACATAAACTCATATATAAAACATTTACGGTAAAACATGAAGCTAAAATATATTAGTTTTAGACATAGCTATACCTGTACGTTTCCATCGTATGATGATAAGTTTCAGTGAAACGACTAGTAAAGGTAAAATAACTTGGAGGTTGTCTACTATAAGTATCATGTCACCCCAAACTCGCACAAGGGAGCATAAAAGAGGAATAATGGATAAGAAAGTTACTATAAAGAAAATTATGCCCATACGAAGATCCGAAACGAAGGTATTCTTAACTGCTCCGTTGATTTTGGGCCATAAACCGACTAATTCTAAACAGAGTCGATTTAGTTCGATTGCCCATACAAAATCTAGCGATATTTCAATGTTAATAAATTGAAATATATGTTAAAATTATAATATCAAATTAATTAAAATTTATTGAATTTGTTTTATGTTGCTATAAATATAATAAATATTTGAAAATTAAAAAAATTTAATAATAATTTAAGAATTTATAAAACTGATATATAATAATTTATGAGTTTTGGTATGTATGTATCCGGAATTAGCTATATTTATAAAAGTCAAAAAGTTTCGTAATTCTATCACAAATGTTAAATTAATCAGTAATTAAAGTTTTAAACTCTGAATATACATTTGAAATAAAAAAAAGTTCATATATAAGTTCATGTGTAAGTTAAATAAAAAAAGATTTCATAAGATAAGAAAATCTTTCGGAGTAATATACTTATGTTTTTTATAAAACTGATACTAATGTTTAGCATAATTTTTATTAGTAATATATTTCAATAATTCAAAAGTTTTTGTAAAAGTTATTTTTATTACGATTTAAAAATATATGATAGATATATTTGATACCTTTGTAACCTGAATGTTTGTTAACGTTCATATTGAAGATTAATGATAAAGAGAATTCGGTTCTTGTACCTCCAGAGTTCAAAATGGTCATTACGCATGCTCATGATGTAAGTATAACAGATGGTTACTTTGTCGAGAGATACATTAAATATTACAAATACTTTTTTCAGTCGATAGTACTTTTTTAGTTCATAAAAGAACTTTACGATCATAAGAACTAATCATAAAAAATGCCAATAACTGTGAAATGATAAAAAGAGAGACATATGTCATAGGATCGTTGAGACATATGCTTGTTATACAAGTTTCCCCTAACTTCATAATGTTTTACGCACTTTATAACTAGTCACATGTCATTAAATTTTTAATAAATCCATGTAGAGGAAAGAGAACATAAAAACTTCGACTAAAAAGAAAAAGACAAAAAAACGTTTACGCTAATAAAAAGAGAGAAATAATGTGTTATATACAATAAGTACTATCACCAATATGTCAAATAATACGCTAAAAATTTCTTCATACTTTGTAATACTCGATCGCGTGTTATATGATAATCGTGTTCACTTCGTAACTAGAGGTATATATGTAATTGCGAGTAGTTGCATTTTAATGGCTTTTGAAGAAAGGCCATAAAAATTCAGAAAAATTTCAAATAAAAAATGTGATGCGAGAAAAAAAATTAGCGTGCCATAAACTACAGGAATACTATTGAAAATCTATTGAAAAGACATTCACTTATCAAGAAATATCTTTTTAAGACAGTAATATCGTTTTAAGATAGATATAAATAATAAATTTATTTCTTCTATCTTAAAACGATATTATTAATATAATTATTAATTTATATTGTAATTATTTAATTCAAAATATATATATTATATTTTTTTCTCATCTTACTTCTCGAATATGTATAGCTATCGTATTGATTGTGGTGCTAGCAATACTTCCAGCATGCAGTTAGCAGTACAACAACTAATATGCGCAAGTACACAAATTCAGTCTTCCAGCACTCCAGCAGAGAAAAAAGCATCGTGTACCTACTTTATATGTGAGAACCCAATAAAATTTTAGTTATGTTTTTTCAATAGAAGACGTTTTTTCAATAGAATATATTTAACTTATTATTTTTATTGTTTTCGGTTTTATTTTTACGAAATAATAAGAAAAAAATACAATTAATTTAAACAAACACAGGATCTATATATATATATGAATAAATATTAATTATTACATAAAAATTTTTAATAGTAAGTAATTTTTAATAATAGTCTAATTAAGAGTACATAATAAATATTGAAATAAATAACGTTAACAATAAGAATTTTACTGGACCACATTTGAAAATAAACATTTTAAACATTTTACCTCTAAATATAAGTTGTATCATAATTACCTAATTAAAAATATTTTGCATTTACTCTTTTATTACAATCTAAAACAAATTATATGCTAATAATTTTCATGCTTTAACTTCGGTATGCTAGCAAAAACGATATATAACTAGCCGATGTTTTTAATAGCTGAAAAAGTAGGCTTCCATTTAAAAGACCCGTCAATAAGATTTCAAAACATATATTCATTTTCTTATATCTATTTAAGACTATTAACTATTTATGCAATAAAAATATCTTACGCTACAGAATGTAGTCATTGTTAATGGAATAATCTTTCCTGCAGTGAAATGAAAAGGTTCACTAGCTCGTGTCATCAATAAAATAAGACATCTCGCTTTTTTTGATTCTAGTTTGTACCATTCGAGATCATTCAAAGTACGGTATATTGCTTCGCACTTAACATGTACATAAAAAATATATAATAAAACTTAAATGTTTGTGTTATTTTATACCAGATTATTCTCATAAATATTAATTAATTTTAATTCTTGTTTATAAAAGATATAAAATTTATTGTAAAAAAGATAAGTATGTCTTTTTTTATAAGAAGATAAGAAAAATTAAATTTTAATTTTAATTAAATTCAATTAAATTTTTTATCAATATTTATGAAAATGACCATACATGATTTTATACATTAGTATACGTTATAAAATAAATAAAAAAATTATAACATATGTTTAAAATTATATAAAATTATATAAAAATAGTTGCCACTTAATTTTAAGAGATTCTTTTTAAACTAAGTATAATATAGATTAATGATCGGCCATAATGCAAATTAAATTAATTTATTTACAAATATAAATATGCATCTTACTTGCTCAGTTATGAGTTCTCCGGCCCCGCAGTAGAGAAAAGTATGTATTAAGAGATTAGCAATGCCAACCATTGCATATAATATTTGTGAAAAAGGAATACCATTAGTTTCATCATCGGTAACAACCTATAAAATTTTTCATAAAAAACAAATTAAGTTAAATAAACAACAAGATTATGATCATAATCATAAATAAGACATTTGGCGCAGTCATATAATATACATTATAAACGAAGATATTATATGTAAGACGATTATATCTAAATATCTTAATATCTAAAAGTAATACATCTTTTTTTGAACTTACAGTAAGCAACAGAAATCCGTACAGACAAAATACAATACCAAAATAAAATACTAATCCCAACATCATTAATGTGAACGTATCTTCGATCTTACCAGCAAATCTGCATTGTAAATATATGCAAATGATCACATTTAATATATACATATATAATTATTTAAAAAATAAACATTTAAAAATTATAAAAATAAAAAAATTGATATATATATATATATATAAAAGATAATAATTAATAAAAAATTTTATGTAATTATATAATATTATATCCTGCGATTTTGTCCTATTGGTTAGCTGATTGAGTCCGATTGATATTATGCCCAATTGTGATTAATCGATTCAATCGATATAACTGCTTGCATGCATTATCGTTCTAACAAGCTTATATATATATATATTCTAACTGTTGTTTAATTACGTAGTGTTTTCTATGTACTGGGTACTTATTATGTTTTATTAACTTTTTTAAATTACAAGTCCTCGTGTCTTTACTTTCGCAAGTGCGGGAGTATTGTGTTTGCATCGCTGGCGTAACAATGTAAATGTGCTAAAAAATGCGTAATATATTGGGAGTACAAATTAGTTCGGTCCGTTTTTTTGTGCATTTATTTCAAAACAAAATGATTGAACAGATCAATTAAAGTATTGTCCATCGCTGCCTACTACTTTTTCCCATCTCTCAAGCAATTTTCGAATTCCGTCTCGAAAAAATGATTCGTCTTTGGAGGCGATCCAATTTTGAAGATCCAATTTTCGATTTTTGCGAAAAAAGTGAACCGGTGACTTGCTACATCCTTCGGAACAACCAGTAATCAGAAGGAGCAATGTGGAGAATATGGCGGGTGCGACGGTAAAACATCCCATTTGAACGTTTCCAAATATTTTTTTACGACTTTAGCGACATGAGGCCGAGCGTAGTCATGAAGAAGAATAACTTTATCATGTCTTTGCTCGTATTCCGGCCGTTTTTCTCGCGATGCACGGCTCAAATGAATCAATTGTAGCCGATACCGATCGGTAATGGAATCGTCAAGTTTCAGCAGCTCATAGTAAACGAGACCCTTTTGGTCCTACCAGATACATGATCTTCGAACCATAAATGTTCGGCCGTGATGTTGATATTGAGGTCGATGGCAACGATTGACCGGGCTTAGCGTAGTATTTTTTCTTCTTGGAGTTGTCGTAGAATATCCACTTCTCATCTTCAATCACAATCCGATGCAAAAAACCTTTTCTCTGTTGTCTTTGAATCAGCTGTTCGCAAGTGAAAAATCGCTTTTCAACGTCTCTCGATTTCAGTTCATAAGGCACCTAATTTCCTTGTTTTTGAATCCCATGGTCTCAATCGTATAGAAACGGCTTGTTGAGTTACCCCCAATGATTCTGCAAGCTCCTCTTGAGTTTGACTCTGATCTTCTTCGAGTAATGCCTTTAATTCTTTGTCTTCGAATTTTTTTGGCTGTCCAGAGCGAGGCTTGTCTTCAACGCTGAAATCTCCATCCTTGAAACGTCGAAACCATTCCCTATATGATTTATCAGTTAGAGCAGTCTGTCACCATAAACTTCATTCACAAGCATTCAATGGGTTTCAGTCGCACTTTTCTTCCAATTAAAGCAGAAAATCAAAACCTCCCGCAAATGCTGCTTGGTTAACACAAAATTCGACATTTCAAAGTATAGTAAAAATCAAGGTTTTTGCATGAAACTCAAAGCGATATAAACTGAATATTATTAGCAGATGTTTAACCTCTCTGAAACCGCTAAAATCAGCTGTTACTATGAACTATTCACAATAGCTGGAGCAATTTTTAGGGAAACGGACTGAACTAATTTGTACTCCCAATATAGAAGATATTTGTATCATTATTATCATATGCAAGAATGTACTACTGTTTCAAGATAAAATAAATGTGCAAAACTTAATTTTTTCGCAAGTTTTGCAAAATTTTATTTTATGTATTATTCTATAGTTATAATTAAAACCTGCAAAAAACCTGATGAGTCGTAGATGAGCGATCACATTACTTCGTAAAGCATTATTAAAATCTTTACATGAGACCAAGTTGATCAATCGACTCCTGTAGTTCTCTAACTGGCCGCAGATGTGAAGAATTGTAAGTCCAAGGAAAGCATCTACCGATGTATATGTTATAGCTGCTAAGAAAATTGTTATGGCTTGAATGACAAGCGTGAGTTCAAATTGCGGACTCTTATCTGTGTCGTAGAAATAATATGTCTGTAGCGGTAACGGTTTATCCCGATCTGTGAGATTTGTTAAGCGTCTGAATGGTACGCCAAAACAAGGAAAAATGATGATCACAGTGAATGCTAGTATCATCAATACGTATCCGCAAATTACGATCAGCCGAGCAGTCCGCGCTCGCTTCATCATCACATTCCTTTCTGTGTCAAGCTTCAATGTCATCCAATCTTCCGCCATCATCTTTATGATGAGTAAGAGAGCTTAGAAATACAAGATTGTTATCTGCATATATTATTGCAATAATATTAAATTGCTAATTTATGAACAAAATTATTGATATATTATTATTATTATTAGGGATTTATTGTACTATTACTGGAAAAAAAGAAATAAATCACATATAAATTTTGACTTCTGTTTGATAGCTTGCACTACGGATATAAAACAGAAGCGAAACAATTAGAAAGAAACTTAAAACTAAATGGTTTAAATTTTAGACAAACCTGAATGTTTCCATCGCATAATAACAAGTTTTAATGAAACTATTATTAGAGGTAATGTAATTTGTAAGTTGTCTGTTACAAGTAGCATATTGCGATGAACTCGTACAAGAGAACATACGAGTGGAATACCAGAAATAAATGTTATTATAATGAAAATAATAATAACGCGAAGATTGGATATGTAATATTTATCTTTAACTAGTTCATTTGTTTTAGGCCATAAACCGATCAGTTCCAATCCGAATCGATTTAATTCAATTGCCCACACAAAATCTAATAGAAATTCAAATATTAAAATATTTCAAAAAGTTAAAATATTTAATAAAATAATGAATTAATATGTATAAAAAATGTGAGCTACTTAAATATCTAAAAATTAATGAATCTATAGACTTTCTTTGAGAAAATTGATTAAAGAATGTCAAAACACAGATAAGTCAAAATCCTAAATAAATAACATTGGAGGAGTCTATTATACATATGGGAAAAGATATAATAATAGAGAATTGAAGATGATATAATACAAACAATACAAATTAATTTTATTATATAATAATTTTTGTCTTTAGCAAAAATTAAATTTTTACAAAAATAAATTTCAGAATAAGTAAAAAATGATAGAAATTTAACCTCTGTAACCTCTATGTTCGGAGATATCCATGAAGACTAATAGGAGATTCCGCTTTGTTTTCCGTGAAGGCTGTTACGGAAAACTGCGCTTTTCTGTTCTTAAATGAGAAGATTATTACGCATGCTCGCTACATAAGTGCAACAACCTAGTTGCCTCATCGAAGCAACATTAAATATTAAGAATGCTATCCCCAATTGATCACAGTTACTCATAAAAAAACTTGACAAACATTCGAATAAAAAAGTGTTCGCCATAGAAAGCGTTTATGTCTATTTTATTACAACGAGAGATGGAAAATATTCTGTCATAATTCTTTCTGTCGAGCTTGTCTTGAAAGTTTTTAGAAAACTTTAATACGTACATTATTTCTCATTTATTTCTAAATGAGAAATAATGTGCTTTTGGGATTGTATATAGTAGATACACAGCACAATTACAATTCAAACCTAATCGTTGTTATATTATCGTTGTTGTACGTTTCAAATGCTTATTATAAAAATATATTTTATTATTGCAAACTAACTAAATGTAGTGTTGTAAAATATAAATACGGAAATATAAATACGGAACAACATAATATGAACTATAGAAATAATCATCTTTTGATAGTTATAAAAAGCTATTTATGCTTACTTATGAAATTTTATATTACATCATATTTTACATTTTGCTTTACTGATAACGAAATGGACAAATGTTATTTGTTAAGTTCATCGCAGTTATCCATAAATAAATCCATATTGGATATTAGATCATATAAAGTCTAATTACTTTATTGTTTTATTAGGAATTAATCAATAATAATTTTTTTATATTCAGTCACGTATGCAAAATATACGAATACTAAAGAATGATTCAAGTCAAAAGCATTTTTTCTAAATAAAAAGAATATAATTTGCAATAAATGATAAACATTAAGGTAAACAACACCATACTTTATTTCTACTAACAATAACTAAATATAATTATTTTTTCCGAAATATTTTATTGAAAATACAATATTTTTTCTATACAGAATGAAAATATATTAACACTATTTTCAATTTCTTTTTGCCAGTAAAAACGATATATAGCCAGCCGACGTTTTTAAAAGCTGAAATAAGGCTTTGTTATTATTTGGATGTACTTTAGAAGAAAAAGAAAAATATTTATCCAAAAATAATCTTAATTGCATTTTTCTACTTTGTAATATAACTTTATAACTTTTTTTTACATTTACGTTTAGTTTGTATTCTTAATCGAAGATATTAAATATATAAATATATAAATTAAATATATAAATTAGATTATATTTAGTATGGAAAAGCATAAGTAAAGTAAAAATATATATTATTATCTATATAATCTTACACTACAAAATGTAGTCATCGTTAATGGAACAATTTTTCCTGCAGTGATGTGAAACGGTTCATTGGCTCGTATTATTAATAAAATAAGACTTCTCGCTTTACTTGATTCCAATTTATACCATTCAAGATCACACATAGCACGATATAAAGCTGCACACTTAACAATGAAAAATATATATGTAACATATATTTAAATATAAGTTTATTATTACAATTAT